GGTCAATGGGGGGTGGGGGTCAGTGGGGTGATTGGGGGCAGTGGGGGGGGTTGGGGAGATGAGGGGGGCGGGGAGGGCTGTGGGTTTGGGTCTGGGGGCTCCAATCAGCGGGGTCTGCCCCCCACGTGGGTCTGGGGGGTTTGGGGGGGTCCGATCAATGGGGTTTCCCCCCCCAACCCCACAGACGGAGCACAAGATGTCCATCGAGGAGGTGTGCAGGAAGTACAACACCGACTGCGTGCAGGTGGGACCCCCCCCAAAAATGGGGTCCTCTGGGGGTGGGGGGGGGGGGGGGGGGCTCTGCTGGGTCCCTCTTCGACCCCCCCTCTGTGGGTTTCCTCCATGGGGTCTCTGTATGGGGTCCCTGTGGGTCTCCCTATGGGGTCTCACCGGGGTGCCCCTCTGTGGGGTCTCCTATGGGATCCCCTCCATGGGGTCCCTGTGGAATTTGCTATGGGATCTCACTGGGGTGCCCCTCTGTGGGGTCTCTTATGGGATCCCCTCCACGGGGTCCCTGTGGGATTCGCTCTGGGGTCTTTCCGTGGGTCCCCGTGGGTCTGTATGGGGTCTCTCTGGGTCCCTGTGGGATTCGCTCTGGGGTCTTTCCGTGGGTCCCCGTGGGTCTGTATGGGGTCTCTCTGAGGGTCTTTCTGTGGCTCCCTATGGGGTCCCCCTTCTATGGGGGTCTCTCCATGTGTCCCTCTGGGTCCCTATGGATCTCAGCGCGTCCCTGTGGGGCCCTGTGTGTTCCTCCGTGTGACCCTATAAATCCTAAGGTGTCCCTATGGATCTCAGTGCGTCCCTATGGGTCCCTCCATGTGCCCCTATAAATCCTAATGGCTCCCTATGTGTCCCTATGTGTCCCTATAAATCCTAATGGCTCCCTATGTGTCCCTATGGGTCCCTATGTGTCCCTATAAATCCTAATGGCTCCCTATGTGTCCCTATGGGTCCCTATGTGTCCCTATAAATCCTAATGTGTCCCTATGGGTCCCTCCAAGTGTCCCTATAAATCCTAATGGCTCCCTATGGGTCCACATGTGTCCCTATAGATCTCAGTGTGTCCCTATGGGTTCCTCCACGTGCCCCTATAAATCCTAATGGGTCCCTATGTGTCCCTATAAATCCTAATGGGTCCCTATGGGTTTCTGTGTGCCCCTATGGATCTCAGTGCGTCCCTATAGGTCCCCATGTACCTCTATAAATCCTAATGGGTCCCTATGTGTTCCTATGGGTCCCTATGTGTCCCTATAAATCCTAAGGTGTCCCTATGGATCTCATTGTGTCCCTGTGGGTCCCTCCATGTGTCCCTATAGATCTCAGTGTATCCCTATGGTCCCCATGTGCCCCTATAAATCCTAATGTGTCCCTATGGGTCCCCGTGTGTCCCTATGGGTCTCCATGTGCCCCTATAAATCCTAATGTGTCCCCATGTGTCCCCATGTGTCCCTATGGGTCCCCGTGTGCCCCTATAAATCCTAATGTGTCCCTATGGGTCCCTGTGTGTCCCTATGGGTCCCCATGTGTCCCTATGGGTCCCCATGTGCCCCTATAAATCCTAATGTGTCCCCATGAGTCCCTATGGGTCCCCATGAGTCCCTATGTGTCCCTATGGGTCCCCATGTGCCCCTATAAATCCTAATGTGTCCCCATGAGTCCCCCTGTGTCCCCATGTGCCCCTATAAATCCTAATGTGTCCCCATGAGTCCCCATGAGTCCCCATGAGTCCCCCTGTGCCCCCATGAGTCCCCATGAGTCCCCATGTGTCCCCGTGTGCCCCTATAAATCCTAATGTGCCCCCCTGTGTCCCCCTGTGCCCCCCTGTGCCCCCTGTGTCCCCGTGGGTCTCAGCGGGTCCGTCGGTGCCCGCAGGGTCTGACGCACAGCAAGGCGCAGGAGATCCTGGCTCGGGACGGCCCCAACGCGCTGACCCCCCCCCCGACGACCCCCGAGTGGGTGAAGTTCTGCCGGCAGCTCTTCGGGGGCTTCTCCATCCTGCTGTGGATCGGCGCCATCCTCTGCTTCCTGGCCTACGGCATCCAGGCGGGCACCGAGGACGAGCCCTCCAACGACAACGTAGGGGGCTGGGGGCGTATGGGGGGGCTATGGGGTCTGTGGGG